AGGGAGGGAGGCCAGAGAGAAAGTAGAAAAAGAGGAAAAGGGAAGCAAAAGCACACAGGCGAGAAGGGTGAAGAGAACAGAAAAACTGGTGCACCTCGTCTCCATCAGGGTTCGTATGGAGGCGACAGTAGGTCCAGATCCCAGGTGATTGTAGTACGGTCCTTCATCTTTCTCCAGGACTTGTTCTTGGGGGAAACAAAGAAATTGCAACATTACAAAACACCATCCCAAAAGCCCTGAGAAGATGATGTTCTGATGTCAAATGTTACAGTAATGATTTTCTTTTACTGACAATGAGGCACATCCCACACTCACATATATATCTTGCTGCTTTTTTAATATCTTGATGTTTTTACATGTATATTTTGATTGTTCGGTGTCAGTGAGTGTCAGAAAAGTGCCTCTTAATAAAATGTATTCTTATTATTTCTGTCGTGTCCATGGACTTCCTGTTTGGGTGCAGTTCCCTTCTTCAGGTGTCGCCACAGCGAGCGGCTTGCACGAGGATTTTGCAATTGTTTTTACCACAGACCACTGAGCTACCACAGCCACCTGTGTCGAGCAGAGGGCTGCCTTCTAGGGCGCCCAGGGGAGCAGATGGGGGGTTAAGGGCCTTGCTCAAGGTCCCAGAGTGAGGTAAATGAGAGTGGACAACATATACAGGAATGGAAACAGCTGTGGGTGTCTCTCCTTTTCCATACAATATTTGATGTTGCAGTCAGCAGAGGGATTTGAACCGGTGACCCATCCCACCTCCCCACTGTTTAGGTGCATTTTACTCCAAGAATCTATTCTCACAGTTTTCCCCACCACTGAAGGTGAAAGGGCGAATATGTATTTGTCTGTCATGTTAGCAAAATATCTGATGAGCCACCATAATAAGTACACATATTTTTAACACGTACATCTACAACTGATTAACTTTTACAGTCAATCCAGGTCAAGATGGCCACCACAGCTACACAACCTTAGCAAACACAGGAATGGCTATGAGTTGGTTTTTGTAGTCCACAGTACTAAAGTTTGATGTGGTAGTAGCTGAGGCTGATCCCCACTTTATACTCCGAGACCCAAATAATTGCATATATTATGTTTTTAGAACTTAAACATTGACTTTAACAAATGGAGTCAGCTCTGTCCATTTGTTAACAAAATATCTCATGAAACTCTGGAAGAGTTTCAGAAAGTAATCATGTGCGACTAAAACCAAAAAAACTTTTCGGCAGCACACACAAGGATTGTGATGACTCGGACAGTTTGACAGATAATGAGCTGAAATCAGGTGAGGTAGAAGCAAAGAGTAAGATGCATCATATTAATGACATGCTTAAAACATGAGTCCCAACTGTTGGAGTCAACGCTGCCTGTTAGCAAAATATCCCATGAACCACTGGATGAATTTTACTAAAACTCTCGTGAAGTAATCAGAGTGAACCCAGTTCAAGATGACCTCCACAACTAATCAACCACAGCCCACATACAGTTTAATGCATCGATACTGAGCTCAAATTTGGTGTGGTAGTAGTTGAGAGTGGGGGAGTGGTGGTGCAGAGGTTAGAGAAGGTGGGCCTGTGATCAGAAGGTCACCGGTTCAACTCTCCGGGCCAACAACATCAACAATGTGGGAGGAAAAGTTAAAGCACCCACACCTGCCTCCACCCTAATTCGCCCCACTCTGGGACATTAACCCCCACCATCTGCTCCCCCGGGCGCCCTAGATGGCAGCTCTCTGCTCCACACAGAGGGCTGTGGTAGCTCAGTGGTCTGTGGTTGTGTCATCTGGCGTAAAAATAATCGCCAAGTCTTCAAGCAAGTTAGTTCACTGTGGTGACCCCTGAAGAAGAGAGCAGCCAAAGGAACCAAAAGTAGCTGAGAGTCGTCCTTAACACACGTGCTGGCAGATCTTGCAAAATCTCATGATGCTGTATGAGTTCACACACATCATTAATTACATCATTTGACCAAAACAGGTATAAGTCTAGTTTAGTTTAAATCTCCTGCATCAAAGGCAAGGAGTGAATATGTTAGCATGGTTCATGAGATGTTTAATGAATGCTCGGCTTATTATTTGTTATTTGGAACGCCTCCGATCCATTTCCACCAGGTTCTTCACAGCTTGAAGCTACAGGGGCTTTTGGGCGTGAACGTCACGCTCAGTAAAAGTCCTTTTACCTCAGTAAAAATTAAAAACTTGACTCGTCCTTGTTGTCATATATCACTTTTGTAAAAGGACAAATGTATAGCAGAGGTTCTGTGACGCACTAACATTCAAAGATGAACTCTTTGTAGCTGAGGCCAAAACATTGCATATGAATCGTGCGAGGCTGCAACTGGCCTCAACATCCAGTTCACACAAACACACACTATCCTCCAGTCAGAGTGGTCTGTGAATGCAGGGTGTGGTGTGAAGGCTGATACTTTGTAAAGCAGAAGCTTTCTGTAGTGACGCTGAATTCCACAGCAAACGGAACTGCGCCTGTGTGAACCATGTGCACCGTTGTGTTTATGTTGTGTTTGACTGCGGCCGTGCATTTGACCATAGGGGAACTAGTAGTCAACTAGTTCTGCATCTGCTAACAACCATTTACCACTGTATTGTTCTTGCTAACACTTCTTCTTACGGGGCAAATTCTGTGAACTTTAAATTCTTATCCAAACCATGGAAACCAGCTCAGTGATTATGTTGTGTGACAGTGTGTGTTTCTCTGGTTCAAAGGCAACATTAGGTCACATTCTCATGGAGTGTGGAAACACCAGGGGCGTGGCTCATAGCAGGAAGTGAAGGAGTCATTCTAGATTCTTGTTTAAAAATACCATAGAAGCTCATGTGCGTGTTTGTGTGTTCAAATTATGGTTTTAAGCTTTAGCCTTGTGTCTTGAAGGCAGTTTGGTGCCATCGTGGCGTTATGCTAAAGGAAGTTATTGATGTACTGCATGAACAAGACAAACTCCTACAGTTAAAGGCCTGTTGCTGCAGCTGCTCTCTCCCTGCTGTGTGTCCTTTTCAATGGTTACAAACAGAAATTGTTAACAAACTGGGTCTTAATGCTTTATCTGGAATTATCACACGCTAAGTGAAATGCAATCAATTGCATTTGTCATAAGGGTTCCTGTGAGCAGAACCGTTCAACAAAAAGAAAACCCATAGTGCAGCAGCACATCTGATTCACCAAGTATTGATTTCACTTCTCAAAATTGTTTTTCATATTAGTCAAAATTATTTTAAATACATAATGATTTAGTAATTATTTTACCAATATTATTTTACCAGAGGTGATCGGGCTTTTGCGGTTGCTGCTCCAAAATTGTGGAACAGTTTACCAGAGAATTTAAAGACCGCTCAGACTGCTGAGACTTTTACATCTTTGCTGAAGCCTCATCTGTATTCCTTGGCATTTGATCCACGCAGAGTCTGAGAACAAATTTTGAGCTGATTTTATTGTTGTTGTGTATTTACTGATAACTTTCTTATGTTTTTGAGTGGCACTAGATGCATTTTTTTACTCTTTTTATCTGTCTTAACTGTAAAGCACTTTGGTCAGGTTTTGTTGTTTTTATGTGCTATATAAATAAATGGACATTGACATTAAAAGGCACCAACTCCACGACTAAAACCAACTAGTCTCAAGCAGGCTGCAACCCAAATATAAGACTACACCACAACAAACAAAGTGTCTAACAAAGACATGAATTTGCCAGCCAGCCACAAAAGGCTCCTTCGGCCAGCACTGCTTTTGTTCCTGCCTGCTGCCTTCATTGCCTCACAGTGTTGATGTCTGGTTGGTCGCTGTCTCATACCCAGGCAACACACATTCATTGACAAACAGCAAATATCCAGAGGAAAGTGTAGCACTAGGGAATGAAAATAACACTAATGGCTATTAAAGTTGAATAGCCCTGGTTTTCACTATAGATTACAAATATAAGAAGAATTTTGCCATCCATTAAATACCAAAAAGCTATTTGCTATGTCTCCTGATGCATGCTCAATAATCCCAGTAGAAAATTTTAAAAATGTTAAGTCTGGTCCTCTGGATGGGTTCAAGTCCTGTCATCATACTCTGACTAAAGTGGGTGTGATGGATAAGTTGGTCTGAGACTGTTACAATCTACAGTTCTTCACAAGACACAAACTTCTCTGTGTCTCTATGAAAAGAATAAAGAACATTTTGGAGGAGTTGTACTTGTTTGAAGGTTGTTAAATGAGTATCTAAAAGTTTAAAACATGTTTGTGAGTGGAAAGAAGCATGCATTGTACATGCAAAGACAGGTACTGATGCACACACTTACCCACACAGGTACAGGTGGGGAAGTCTGCCTGTTGGTCCTTGGAGGGAGTATCCAACAAGTTCTTGGTGGGTGTATCCAAATAGCGCAGAGGGGAATCTAGAAAGCCTTTGAGTGAAGGGGAAGAGTGAAGCCCGTCCTTTGATGGTGTGCCCTCTTCAGAAAAGCAGGTGGTAGACAGTACTGCTAATTCCCCCGAAGCTTCAAATTTAAAGCGTTTGGGCAGCGGAGAACCTTGCATGCTAAATGTGTTTTCGAGCACTCTGGGTGGCTGCTGCTTGTCCAAAGTGGTCTCCTGGTTCACAAAAGCATCAGCTGGCTCTTGCCGTTGCATTTCCATGGCGCTCTCTGTGTTTGGCAGGTTCATAGTTGTTTCACTTTGACTAGCTAATCCATTCTTGTTGACAACCATCTCCTGATCATCAGAATGAGGTGTGGCGTTGGTTTTAACAGTGGAAACTGAGGAAACTGACTTGGTGGTGTAGGATGATGTGGAACTGAGGTCCTGAGGACTGATTACACATTGATTCCCTAGCTTGGGGCCTGGAGCAATCTCCTTCTTGGACTGACTGCCAGATATGTCAGGAGCTGAGTCTCCAAATTCAGCCTCAAACTGGCGGATCAGTTCTTCAAACTTTGGATCTATGTTGATGAGATTTTGTAACTGAGAAGTGTTGGATGAAGATGTGGAGGTCACAGGTGTGACGTTGCTGGTGTTATTGGAGGTCAGGCTCATGCCTGAGTCTTCTGATGTATCATGGGCTGCAGGAGCCACAGACTGGAACGTAGGGTTCATGAGAGTTGGAGCGTGTTCTGATGAAACAGAAGGTGTGGAAGAGGAACTCATTGAGGTGCTGGAGATGGATACCTGAGATTGGGCTGGGGCAGGGAGACCTGCAACAGCAGCCTGAGTGGAGTTATTGAGGAGGGCCAGAGAGGGGAGAGAGCATGCTTGCAGGCTGTTTAGAGCTGGGGATCTGTCTATCACATGGACTGGTGGTTTTTGTACACTGATCTGAGCTTGAGGCAGAAAAGTTGGCAAGGAAGCTTTCTGCTTAGTTTTCTTGATGATTATCTGTTTGGGTTTGGAGAGGGGGTGGCCCAAGGACATCCCACCTATTGATTTTATGACAGGAGATCCATGGCTGCTTTTCTTCTTTTTGGGCTCCTTGGGTTCCTGCTTAATCTGCAGAAGCGACAAACCTTCTGCATCCACTTGTGGCCACCATTTTTTTAGGTTTTGGCAACCCATTGGTGCACGGGAGCCTGGTGCTCCAAAACCAGAGGGGTGGGTAGAAAAGAGGTTCCTCCTGTAGTGAAGGTGGTGCTGAAGAGCTGCCTGAGTGGAGTGGCTGATGGATGCTTGTCCAGGAGACATAGTATTACCAAGGTAGTGCTGACCTTGCTGTTGTCCATTTGAAATACCATATTGTCCAACAGAGGCAGTGTGATGGTAATTTTCAGAGTCTGACTCCTGTTTTATTCTGGCCTGTGCTGATCCGCCTTGGCCTTGAATTTCCCCGTTCTGGTTCAAGCTGAGCTGCTGCATGACTGGAAGCTTAAAAGGGGCATGTTTTAATTTACCACTGGTATCACCAAGCAGCTGTTTAAGCTCTGACATGGGGTCAGATTTATTGTGAGCGGAAGTTATAAAGTGAGACTGGGTTTCAGATTTCAAACACATCCATGGATTCATCTGTTCCAGTTCTCTGCCAGAGCCTTGCTTCCCCTGCTGAGGATTATAACTGAAACCCAGGGGTTTTCCCTGACCTGGTAAAGGAGAGGTAGAAGATGGGAAAAGTGTAGCATGAGGCAAATGACCCTGGGACTGGGGTCTGTGATGTTCACATGACGGATCCTGCTGGTTGGTATGCAGACCTGAAGGGACAGACTGTGGGCGAGATGATGAGGTGTTTGTTGGAGAGGATAGGCTCAAACCATGCATGATGTCCTCTGTGTGTTGTTGGCTATGAAATTTATTTCTGAATAAGGTTTGGTCAAGAGAACTGGCTGCCTGAGGACCAGAACCAGACAACTGTGTCAGGGCATCTATGGCAATGGCTGCTTGAAGACTAATGTTCTTTTCTTTGACCATGGAAAGCACCTGTGGAGAGCAAGGAATAGGGGGTTTGGAGCAGGGCACTTGGTCTTGGTGAGGGCCTGGTTTTACTGCCTGTTGCTGGGAACATGAATTAGATATATGATGGGCGCCATTCATCTGTCGGTATGTCTGAGGGTGTTGCTGCAAACTGGGTTGCTGTGAGTGTGGAGCACCATCAGCTGTTTTGTGGGAGCCTTTAGTAGCTAATTTAATCTTCTTCTCCAGCCACTCAAGATAGTCAGGACAGTCAGGTCCATCACAGTTGCAGTTGGGGGGCTTGTGCCCATGCTTGGCTTGGCTCAGTGCTGTCCGTAAAGTCTCAAGATCCTCTGAAGGTTGGCAGCTTCCCTCAGGTGCCTCTGCAAAACCTCTGGAATGAGCTTCTCTAGCACCTGTCTCCTGGATGAACCTTTCATACAACTGGGTTGTATTTATCTGCACCTGCTGGCAAGACGATGATGAAGAAGGAGGCAAAGAGCTAGCAGTAACAGAAAAAGCCACCAGATTGTGGGCATCCTCCATGTCTGCATGGTGAACTGGTACAGCAGGGGTTGCACCACCACCACCGCTCCAACATGGCTGCTGCTGCTGCTGCTGGGTGTCACTGACCTTGCCATGTCCTGGCACCCAGCTCTGTCTAGGGGGCACACTTCCTGCTTTCTGTTGTTCTGTTTCCATAGATGCCTCATCATCATTAGGATAAGGGCTCACTCCATTGGCCAACTCAAGACTCAACATGCCTTCCTGGAGGCGGTCATGAGAACCAATTTCCATCTGGCCTCCACTTCTGGGGCCATCCACTGAAGGGACTTTGTGAACAACCTGAAAGACAAATGTGGATAAACATTAGTAAAATTGAAAAAAAAAAAAAAAACAATAATAAATAAATCCACGATACAGGCAAAATAAACAATAAAAACAACTAAAAAGATCAAATAACTTAGAAATGCTGACTTTATGTTGTGCTCAATCAGTATGTTTATTTTAACAAATATAATTTTCACATTTACTTGTCAGAGTGAAAATCAACCAACACAAATCTCCATTCCATTCTTTCTAGCTATGATCCAGAAATTCCATCCAACCTCTCACACACTCATACAGTAGTACATTGTGTTTCAGGGTTTATTCAACAAGGAAAACCAAAGTAAATATTGCAGTATTAAGTTGTTCCACAACAGGCAGGAATTGTCTGGCCTGTCACGTGCCCTACAACAGTTTCACAGTTGTTTTACTATAGACACTGCGCTCATCAGTTGGGCTTTATGCAAAGCAGGCAGTTGGGCTGAAAACATCATTCCTGGTATAAAGAAGACACATGTGGCATAGTGGGGCATAGTACTGCCTGTGCACACACTTTTAAACATGTATATAACTAAAACACTTTAAAACTAGCTATATTCACAGAACAGGTATCAAAACACAAATCCAAGCATTATATTATGAATACAAGGTAGCTCAGTTAGGTGTTCAGAAAGGAACAAAAAATGACCAGTTTCAGATGTTGATGTATTCTTTTCCAGCAACCCTCAATTGATCTTAAATAGGATTTATATTGTCTTTGCTAATTATATAATTATTGTTAACTAAACACAGTAAATGAATATTCAATATTCAATCACTCAACTGTCCTAACATTAGCACAAATGCAAATCCCAATTATTTCAAAAGATATTATGCAGGTCAAATGTAAAACGATTTATCTACAAACTAACATGTTAGCTACTGCATTACACCACATACTCACAATTGTTTTATCTTAGTAAACATACAATTATAGGTTTCTAACTACAAATACCGATTTGTTTTTGTTAACCCTTGTACCATCCTTTAACTTGATGTCCATTTATGTTCCTTAGGGGAAAAATCGGCCACCTAATAGATTAAATATTAGATTTGCTATTTTCTAAATAGTTTTTCTCATGTACAGACACAGACATACATCAATGGCAGTCAGACACTATCAGCCGTGGAACGTCTGACTGTATGCATGTGACTGTTTTAGTACTAAATGTTTACTTGTACACATTACAAGTGAGTTTTGTTCTTTACACCTAAACTAAAATGATTTTGTGGGACAAGATGAGAGGCGGGCCTCCGCAGCGACTCTGAATGAGGAAGATGTATCTTTTCCGGTGTGAGTTGAACGTCCCGGTAGGGCTGGGCGATATGAGGAAAATCTAATATCCCGATATTATTTTGCTATATCGCGATACACGATGTATATCACAATATTTATAAATAATCTCCAGTGTTACTTTAAACTAGTATTTAAAATTGCACTGGTGTACTCTATTCAAACAGACCATTTATGTTTTTTTTTTAAATTGAATACAAAATCAGAATAAGTTTAAAATGTTTTATTGTAACCATCAGTTGCACACAAATCATCTTCAGTAATGAAATTAGTACCACTTTTTCTTACTGTGGTCAACACTATACCTTTAATAAACAAGACCCTAGCAGCAAAAAAAGTACACCAAGCACAAATCCACAATGAAAAATAAACCAGCTGGCTGAAAACAATGGTGCTCGTTAGTGCTTTTTGCATAAAAATTGTAAAATCAAAAAACCTGATGAGTCCAGATTTACAAAAATAAAAGTTTAAATAGTGACTATATAATCAACTGACCCAGAACAGCCACATGTATCAGAGCTTCTCTAATCAATTTGCATGCTGGAAATTTTGAGAAGAAGGTCACGTTTGTTAGCTGCTGGCCTACGTTTTCTCTTACTGAAACGTACAACTCTGGCAGCGCTTTTTCTGCAAAGAACTTGCGACCTGACAAGTCGTATTTTGCATCAAGAGTCTTAATAAGATTTTTGAATTCAGGCTTTTCCACAACACTGACAGGAGCCATGTCTTTGGGGATATATTTTGTTACTGCGTCAGTGATTTCTCTCCACTTTGTACTTTTTCTGTCATACGGGATGGTTTTGGTAAACGAAGAAGCTAGTGTCATCTGCTTCACAGCTGTATTATTTAACATTTTCTTTGTTGTGTGGGGAGACGTGGACATACGGAGTTTACAACATTCTTCATTTTGCAGTGGACGACTTCTTAGGTGGTGAAATAAAATTGTGGTACTGCTTCCTTTTGTGGCAATGGTTTTGCGACACGTTTTGCAAATTATCGCATTTTGTTCGACATCCTCCTTGTAAAATCCAAACCACTGCCAGATTATTGATCCAGTGCTGTTTCTCTTCGGAACTAGTTCATCGGACTCTTCAGTTATCGTCTCATTCACCCGCTCACCTGAATCTCCCGCTGTCGACATATTTTTTCCTCTCTCCAAGTCTATATGCGCATGCTCCGCACAGCGTGTCATGCGGAATATTTTCAGGTTGAGAGGGGGCAGGGAGTAGTGATGCATTCGTTGCGTGTCGGATAAACGAAACTCACAGTGAATTAGATGCGGAAAGCTTATTATTTGAATGGCAATTTATACTCGATGGTTGCGATAGAGACATTTTAACCATCGTAAATTGAAAAACTCGAGATACATCGAGTATATTCGATACATCGCCCAGCCTTACGTCCCAGTAGATTTTGTTTTCAGAGACTCTCAAATAAAAAAGCAGAGCACCACCTAGAGGGCTAAGACAAAAATAGAAAGTGTATATACATTCATTCAACCTTTATTTATACAGGTTAGTCTCACTGAGCCTTGAGGACTCATTTACAAGAGAGACCTATTATAAACAAAGAACACAGATGAGGTACAGACAACAATAGACAAATAAAAAAGCATATAAAATGAAAAATAAGTAGAAGAAATGAAATAAAAACAAAAACAGCCACATTATAAAGTGGTGTAAAATGCTAAATAAAAGCAGTTAAAGAAAAAAGCATTACTGAACATTAGGAATTAATTATTTTATGATATAATAAATGTGGGATTAAAATTTGTTTTTACAATCTTAATAATTTTAAGAAAATGATTAAGATTAAAATTTTGGAAAGATACATATAAATACATAAAATTGTGATGAGTTATTTATTTTGTTATATTACTTAAAGATGATTATTGTTTGAATTGATTGTTTGAATTGATTTTGTTTTAAACAAGGGGCAGATATGATAAGATTTTTTCTTCCTCTGCTACCTTTCATTTTATGACGTGTTTTTTTTTTTTTCTCATTTGGTTTCTAAATTGTTTTTGTGTTTTAAATATCCATCCATTTTCTTTACCCGCTTATTCCATTTTGGGTCACGGGGGTCGCTGGTGCCCATGTCCAGCGATCACTGTGCGAGGGGCGGGGTACACCCTGGACGGGTCACAAGTCCATCACAGGGACACATAGAGACAAACGAGACAAACAACCATTCACTCTCACTCACACCTAGGGACAATTTAGAGTTACCAATCAGCCTAACATGCATGTTTTTGGTCTGTGGGAGGAAACCGGAGTACCCGGAGAAAACCCACGCATGCACGGAGAGAACATGCAAACTCCACCCAGAAAGGCCCCTGGACCGGGGTTTGAACCAAGGACCTGCTCGCTGAGAGGCAGCAGCTCTACCAGTTGCGCCACCGTGCTGCCCTGTTTTGAATATGAAATGAATAAAAATGACCAACAATGTATTCTAATGTGAGCGACACAGTGGCTCAGTTGATAGAGCTGTTGCCTCTCAGCAGGAAGGTCGTAGATCAAATCCCGGCTGAAGACTTTTCCAGGTGGAGTTTGCATGTTCTCTTCGTGCATGTGTGGGTTTTCACCGGGTACTCCGGTTTCCTCTCACAGACCAAAAACATGTATGTTAGGCTGATTGGTAACTCTAAATTGTCTCTAGGTGTGAGTGAGAGAGTGAATGGTTGTTTGTCTCGTTTGTCTCTATGTGTCCCTGTGACGGACTGGAGACCTGTCCAGGGTGTCCCCCACCTCTCGCACAGTGACTGCTGGACATGGGCACCGGCGACCCCCGTGACCCAAAATGGAAGAAGCAGGTAAAAGATAATGGATGGATGGATGGATGGATGGATGGATGGATGGATGGATGGATGGATGGATGGATGGATGGAAGGATGGATGGATGGAAGGATGGTTTCAAATGTGGCTGATTTTCCCCCTGAGGAACATGAGTATGTAGTACAATTTTTTTTTTCAAGTAGAAGGGTTTGGGGGCTTTTTCAGAAAAAAAATAATGTTCATTGACTGTACCAAAATAATTTAATAAATAAAGTCACAGACAATAATAAATGTATGGCTGATCTTTCACCAAAAGATGATACAAGAATTAAAGAGTAAAGGAAAATCTCATCGCAACATGGAACAATGTACTTTACTTTAGTAATGAAGGGATTGGTCATTCAGAGGGAGTTAGTACTGAAACTAAACATTCTTCTAGCAGAAACACTACATTTGATACATATTTTAATTTAAGGTTAGGACACTCTTACTTGAGTTTCAGAAGAGCTAAATACTAAAAACAGAGTATGCTTGTGTATGGAGTAGTTTAGTGTCTGTGGTAGGGACTAATGATGGAGGACACAAACAATGCAACCAATATGATCCTTTTTGATAAAACTAAAGAGGAAAAATAAATCACTCAGTTTGGTGTTTGTACTGTTTAACAAGTAATATTGTTGAATATTGTACCATTTGTAGATGGATGATTTGTTAAATCCTTAAGGTAATAAAAAACAAGGGATTAAGTTTTTTTTTTTGTCAAAAAGTGAAAGAGTTACAGAAACAAAGAGCACATTTTGAGAACTGCTGTTCATGTGAACAAGTATTTCCATCTTTCCTTAGATAAAACAAATAACGTGACCTTGTAATGAACACCAGTAATCTCATCGAGCTGTTTTTATAGCCTTTTTTAGAAGAAACTAATCAGAAGCACATCAGTAAAGCCACATGTCACTTCCTTCATGTCTAAAAAGTCACCACAGACTCTTAAATTACATGTGCAAAGAGCTACATAACTGTTTTACTTTATCTGTCTACAAGACTGTTTGTCTTAAATGGTTTGATACATTCAGGTCAACTGCTCCAATTCACAGATATCCTTAGATATTTCTTGCAAACAATGTTCAACCCAGGCCTCATAGAGAGGAATCAACTTAGTCTAGAGGGACAGAGAACTAAGTTAATTGAAGGGCAGGCTCAGAAATCATTGACAGAGTTCATGCAGCAGTACAGAGTCATCCAGCAAGCCCAATGACCCTTATGAAAATTAAACAATGGCAGATTTGCCATTAAAAAACAAACCACACTGCTTTAGCCTCATTTGAAAAGACCAGCAGACTATTATTGGCCATTCTTTCTCTTTGATGTCAAAAATTAGATATAATGTATGATACGCTAATACTAATGGCAAACTTTGATGCAACAATATATGTTTAAATGCTAAATTCCTCTGCTGGGTCCAACACCAAAACATTACTGTAAAGTAGCATGGACAATGGTGAATCTCCTGGTGTTCTTTCATATTTAGCTAAAACAGATAGTTTCTGTGTGATGATCTATCAGTGTCTGATGGCAGACGTGGTTCTGATGTCCAGCGTCCCCCCGTCATTTGAATATTATTGAAATTAGCCTTTGAAGTGGCTAATTACAGGACAGGCAGTATGCTTGGATCTTTTGAATCCACCTTCGGCGGTGGGTGTCTAATAGGGTTCCCGGAGCGAGGCGTGGGGGGGGAGGTAGCAGCAAACAGCCGGCATGCCTTACGTGAGAGGCCCCATGTCGGTACTATCGACGGCATCAGATGGGGAAGAGGAAGGAGGGGGCAGCAGTGTGCGGCAGTTATGAGAACTGCAGTGTGTTGAAACAGGCTGACTGCAACACTGCAACCCAACATCCCACAACCGTGCAGTGTCAGTCACACGACACTCTCCTTTCCACATTTTCTCACAGTTACATGCACGAAACCGAGACGATTAAACTTTTAGAACAAAATGGACCGCACTAAGCCAGGGAAGAACAAAGCACAGCACCAACAATGAATAACAAGGCCCTGAATTCTTAAATAAACAAGAGTTTTAATTCACATTAAAAAAGCCCTCTATGTACAGAAGTCAGGGATGAAAAAGTGCTGACATCTGCAACAATTTTCACCTATCCCAGCACCTCTATTTGTACGGGCCGCATGCTAAATATTTACACCATGACAGAGTTGATGGTTGTGTTTGACTGCTTCACTCTATTTCACACACAAACACACCGACACAAAGAAACTTGTACAGGCTTGACCCGGGTGTACCCAAACACAACGTCAAGTCTAACCAGATCAGATCCTGTCAAACCTGGTGGACCAGATGAACCTGAAGCCCTTTAAACAAGGTGGCCGAGCTCGTCTGGGAGCCAAACGAGCGCAGTTCACAACTGACGCTGCTCCATAAAGGTGGAGGGAAGAGTCAGTAGTGGTGGTGCTGAGGGGGTTAAGTGCAGCTTTTGAGTAGACAGCTGAACCTAAATCCCACATACACAACACCACCCCATCCTCCCTCTCATCCGCCTCCTTCTTCCCCCACCCCTTCCTTTGCTGCCGTGACGAGCAGGAACATGAAGCAGAGACCCTGACGATATTAAGCCGGCTGAGAGCCTCGAGGGTCCGTGGCACGTATACTTACGCCGTCCTAGATGTCCAGACGGAGCTGCCAGGCGAAAAGCAGAGAGACGAGGAGACAGAGAGGCGCATCAGACCTGATCCATAAGCAATCCATCCCTGTTTGGTTGTATTCTTGGTTTATTCCTTGCCATCTGTGCAGTGCACAGACACAACGGGCAGCAAAACACACATGTACGCATTCACACGCACACACGACCGACCACGCACACAACCCACCACCTCCCACAGAACACACGCTCCGTATTCTCTTGGCTCTTCTTAAAGCCAAAGCTTTCTGTTCTCTCCTTTTTCCTTTCTCATTATCTGTGTCTGCTCCTCCCTTCCCTTTTTCAATATCCTCTTTCTCTCACTTGACTACACATGCAGTCGGCTTCTCCTCGTAGCCCCCACCTTCCCCCCCTCTTCTCTCTCTTTCTTTCCCTCCCTCCATTCCCCTCCCTCTCATGCACAACCTCCCCCTCCATCTCCTCTCCTCTCTCTCGTCAGTGTGTGCAGAGCGAGAGGCCATTATCTGAGCCGCAGCGGGCACGTACAATGGAATGGAGGAGTGTGCAGCGAGCAGAAACGCAGAGAGCGGTGGGGGATATTTGCTGGTAGCAGCCACCTAGGAAACAGCTCAGTGCAGCAGAGCTCTTACCAATGAGAACACCTCTGTCTGGCTGTATCCACGCCCTGCAGCGCTGCTGCATTTGATGGCGTAACCTTGTAGACAACATGTACGTTCTGTTTATTTTCACAGCTCAAAAATGATTTTTAAAAATAGCCAACCTTCGCTGCTTCAGAGGACCAATGCAGAACGAATAGACAACCTCAATTCGTGATGGAAAAGGAGAAAGAAGCAAAAAAAACTTCTTTTTTTTTGACCCACTGCAAATGTGATTTTGTACCTCCGCATTTGAGAGTCAAGATTCAGCTCAGTCCTGGGCCATAGAGGACGCCACCAATAATGGCTCGTCGATCTCCGTTTCACCTCTTTCACGTTCATTTTTCCTTATTTCTGGCTCAAACGTACTCCCTTTAGTCTTATACTACTGAGGCTACGAGCACCACGGGGTTAATAGAGAGGGAGCTGACTGGCCCATCCTCAAAGATCCCAAATGATGCAGTAGAGGTGGATGGTTTCAGACTGATGCAAGACCGCTCATCAAAACACTGCAATGCCAATTCACTAATCTATCCAGGCAAACGAGAACAGAAGACCGACAAGGAAGATGTGCGAAAAGCAAGTGTGTGGAGAAATGAAGAAGAAACTGGCGATGACACTCCATCAAGAGCAAGTAGGAGGAAACAGACGATAACACGGCACGGAGAAGAAAACAAGAGGAAGAAGAGCTGCTCAGATGTTCTTTAGATTGTTCCAGGAACTGGACAGAAGATCTTCACACAGATAAGGGATAGGCAACTTGTCAGCAAACAAAGATGGCAGCCATTACATCTGTGTACAGTAACAACACGGAGCCTCTGTCCTCCCTCGTCTGTCCACCAGCCTATGATAACGTACTCTCGCTTTCGTCTCACCCGTGTTCTGCCTTAGCGTCTCTGCCGTTATCATCAGCCTTGTCTTCATCGCTGGATGTTTCCTCTCGCTCACTTGCTGGCTGACAGGCCTTGTGGTCCTCTCTTCTCTCCAGCATTGCTGGACATTTCAAAGCAGGTTTAACCAACAGGAAGATGTGGATGGAAGAGAGGGGAGATGATCGCCGTGAGCTCCTGGGTTGTACTTTTCTCTTGTATTACTGAGCGTGTGTCAGCTACACCCTGCTTTGGCTAAATTAACTTCCTTAGCCGCTCTCTGCTGCACATATTTTGGCTTTTCCCTGTTCCTCTTGGTCTCACTTGATCACTAATCCAATCTTCCCTCTCTCGATCAGTTCCCCTGTCCGGTTTCCTGAGCCTGTCCTCCTAGAATAGCTCGTGGATTTACAGCTCCAACACTTTCTGACGCTCCCGCTCTAAACTGTACACCGCCTGTCTTGCTGTTGCCACACATATTCGTATGAAGACACACACAGATGAGAGTTAAACCCAAAGAGAAACACAGCACAGCCGAAACTGTTTAAGGGAAGGAGAGGAGAAGTAAGAGCACTGGGTCACATGACAAGCGAGTGCCAATCAGTGAGAGGGAAAGCAGGGAGGAAGAGAGGAAGGAAACACAGGCAGTGATGACGTAGCTGCCTCGTCATCATCAGTGTCTCCCACCAGGATTTCTGCCTCCACCACTGGGTGGGCACGTGACATTGGACATTCAGCCCACTTAACTATCACCCACTCACACCAACTAACTCTTGAATACTTCTGACGAGCTTGTGCTCACTCTCCCTGAGCTGCCGTGACACAAAGTTTCTACCTCCAAGGCTCGCCTTCACCCGACTCACACGTTCTTATACAACAGTTCAGCTGAGAAAGAGGATAGAAGTGGATCACATTATTAACCTGTGGGAGAGTTTTAACATCTTCAAAACAACACGGGTCATAATCTTTAGAAAAGACAATGGGACGGTGAAAAGGTTTAATCTCAACACGTGTGCAGTGATTCATGGTTCACGTACATAAACATCAAAAATGTTGCTTCAGTGATCATAAATCCAAACTGTTTCTGGCCACAGACTTACAAAAAGTGTCTCAAAACAGGTTCAGATTAAAGCCTTTGTCATGAAATCCTGCACAACTTTTAGAGTCCATGTTGTGTACGTACAGTCAGGGGGCAGGACTCAGCAGCCAGTAATCCATGAAAATAACATTTAGGTTGGTTGGGTTACACTGTATGTTTTAATGCAACCTGAGATTACCTAAATATAAATCTGTGTATCAGGTCAGCCGGTCATGTAACTCCCTTAGTAAACACAAAACAGGGCTATATTTCAGTCAGTTTTAGAGATATTGAGCTAAAAATGATGTGGTGGTAGCTGAGAGTCATCCTCAATACATACTTTGAGGACATCTTTGTTTAAAACTTTGGCCTGCAAGTAGATAGGCAACACATTTCTCTGTATGGAATGATACTATTTAATTTTTCATAATGTAACCCTAACCAAGTAGTGACTAAAAAGCCCAAACCTAAGTATATATTTAAAACTGGGTAACACAACGAATCCAAAAAATGGAAGAAAAAGTACTTTTGAAGTCAAACTGCTTTTCAACACAAGTAGTTAAACACGAATAAAGCAGGAATCCATAACTTGACTTGTATGTAGCACCTCCTTTTGAGGCTGCTGTATTTTTGAGGTAATCATTTTGTGTCCACTGATATGTTTTGTCTTAAAACCGTTATTTTAACACTCGAGCACCTTATGTGTACAAGTGAAGCCAAATTTGAGTTGGTTTATATTTGGCTTGAATACTCTGTATACAAACTGGACATGTTTATCTTCTGTGTGTTGTCCTGATAACCTTTTATGAATCTGCACTTTATGAATAAGCCGAATAACAGAAAGCCTACATGACTCCAACACATGGGCTCCAGGATGATTCATAGTCCTCAGCATTAGAGTAGGTGTCATTTCACATAAAACGTTGCTCAACATTTCTGGTGTTTACCACAATCTGGTTCGATTATCCCAGAAAAACAGAAACCAACAAAAGAGAATTAAAAGGGACCAGAGTTTGGTCCTTTTCAAGGTGTTTCATCGTCCAGGTGTACCAAAGCACACCTCCTTAACCGACCTCATTTATGACTACTGAACACTAGCCTGTAGCTTTGTTTACTTCACGTTACACTAAGAAGTTTATAACGAAGAGTTCAAGTGAAAATGAAATCCCACTTACAGTAGTTCTGCTGAACACAGGCATTGAGAGAACGAGAGCAGAGACTCCTAATCTTCCCCCGATCATCTCATCTAACAGTGCAGTCAAACTGTCATCCAAATGACTTCTTTCACGCCCTCGTCTCTGTTTCTCTCCATTCCTCTTTCTCTCTCTCCCTCTGTTTCGCTTCTCGGCCTCGTCGTCGTTTCTCAGCAGAAAAGAGTAGGAGTGATGACTGACAACACGAGTCCATCCTCAGCGATGTGCGTTGGGTACGACACAGCTGAGTCATCTTTGTCTTCTCTTCTCAGCTACATCCTGACACGAACCCTCACCTATCGAAGGAAGCTTTCCAAATGTTGCCAGCCCATCACCGCCGGGAGGTTTGTGTGTACCAAACACAGAAAACACTCATTTTTAAAATGTTCCTTTTATCATTACTTTACTAACCGTTGAAACATTCATTTAAACATAAATATTTATGTGTAGGTTTGGATCCAATTGACAGAAACATGAGTCGTGTCATGAGGGTTACCCTCCTCCACCTCTTCCTGTCAGCTGACACCCGGCTCCGCCTCTGCCCCCAACCCTAACCACACAGTCCTGCAGTCAAACAGCATCAAGGTCGTCTGCTTTGACCCACTTCCTCTATCCCTCTTCTTGCCCCGTCTTACTTTATCTTTCCCCCACACGCCACATACAACTTACACTACGCATTTCTGTTGTGTGTGTAGAGCTCGAAACACGACCGGCTCCCCCCAACGCCGCTCTGTCAATAAGTGCAGGAGGCGAGCTTAATGATTTTCCTGCACACATGCAGCACAGCCCAGCAAGAGAACAAAGTGATGGATTGTTCACCGAGGGTCACTGGGTTTATTGGTGGGTGGGGTGAGAGGCTGAAGGGCACAGTGGGTTTAAAAATAGTCGTAGAAACACAGTTCCCTCCTCGTGATGAACGGGCAACAGATACTGTGCATGACCACGGTCTGTAACCTTCACCACCATAGTTTCATTAGTTTAACCCTTTTGTTTGTTTGTCCTTGCAGCTGCCTTGTGAGTCAGCGTGAGCTTCAAGGAGTGTTTGGGTGGGGATCGTAGCGCCGCGCTGCGTTCAGCATCCAAGTCTGAGTCATAACTCCTGACATTCGGCACGTGCAAGTCAGCACGATTCGCTCAGCTGAGGCAAGGCTGCACCTCCAGCCTCACCTCCCCGTCTCCTCCTCCCAAACCCTCGTCTCACTGCGCTCCTCACAAAGAGAGAAAAGGAGGAGTGGTTTCAGAGGGAGGAGACAGGAAAAAATTGGAAAGGTGATGATAGGTGGGCCGGCTGTGTGGGCGGAGCTACGGAAATTGAAGAGGAGGAAGAGGCAGAGGGGGTGTGTTTTTAGGCGGCTGCTCTTTGTGCTCGAGATTTAGGAAATAAAAGAAGGAAGTGAACAGAAAAGATCAGCTCAGATGGGGAACACAGACCTGAGACAAAGAAAGATGAACAGGCAGAGAGGAAACAGAT